GATCAGCGGCGAGAGCTTTATAATTCACTCTTTATCGTTTTCCAGAACACGGCAGATTGCAAAAAATGGTGAAAGCTATTGAAAAAGATCATGGTCATTGAAAATGCCGCTTATACGTAGTTACGGTTTTCAATCGAGTAGAAAACGAAGATCGCAGGATTATAAAATTAAAAAAAAACCATTGATAGAGAAAGCGGGATTGAAAAAGCCGTCTTTCCCCATAAGCTGGGTTTCCAGTTGGGTAAGAAACGATGGATTTCCTTCAAAGAAGACCGAGTACTGCTGGGCCTTACTATCTCATCCAACCCTTCCATAAAGCATTTTTATTGATTTCACATCACCTTTTCTATTCTTCTAGTCTATCTTCTTTAGATCATATTTCCTCATCAGACTTTTATCTAAGATACTATTTAACGCTAAGCACAAAAGAAAGTTGTTTGAAATCTGATTGAAAAAAGATTCCTTCTATCATTATTTGAGTCATGTGGTCTGGTAAGGGCTCTTGTACAGCCCGAGACACGTGTTTCGTCCTTACAGACTCATCAGCCGGGCAGAACCCGTCGTCTGTCGATCTTTTTATAGTCAGTTCTCTCGTGAGCCTCACTCTGTGTTAGGTGATTGTTTCACTTCTCATGGAGTGTAAAGCGTACGTCGTCGATGACTTTCTATAAGGAGTGTAAGGCTCCCGAGAGAACTGACTATAAAAAGATCGACAGACGACGGGTTCTGCCCGGTTGATTAGTCTGTAAGGACGAAACACGTGTCTCGGGCTGTACAAGAGCCCTTACCAGACCACATGACATGTTGGCTCAAATAATGATGAAAGGATATATTGAAATTTGAGCGTGGTCTAAACAAAGCACTCGAGATAAAGGTATAATTATGAAAAAAGATTTTTGTTTCGCAATGGATCAGAAGTCCAATATTTCAGAATTACACTTTTACACGCTATTTTTCAATGAAACAAGTTCGATAGAATATTGGAGAGATCTTTACTAAGACATTTTACCGCCCGCTGTGGACGAGTTGCCGCATGCTCCAACACATTCAAACGCGTTCGTTCATCAAAAGCGTGTTATTTCCGTTGATACACCCAATTGGCGAACAATCAACAATTGCATTGACAATTGACATTTTTTGAATTGGCATTACTATGAGAGCGACAAGAGGAAACAGGCGGGAGGGCAATTCTATGATTGCAGCATTTAAGCGAACGATCCGTAGATGTTGTGAAGTAAAAAAAAAGGTGAGATACCGAGTACTATACAGCGCGACAAAGCCATATTTCATACACTTTCATGGGGCACTTTGTACATGCATTAATACCAGTATAAATGACAGGAATGTCTATATAAATTCGAATAAACGAGACAAAGTTGTTCATAAATTCAAAATGCGAAAAAAATCCGTATTATTCGAACGAGATAATCGAAATGAAGGGAGTTGGTGGAATAATCTTCGAGGCTTTGGAGAAAGCAGATAGGATCATATTCATGAACAAAAGGATAAATTTTGTTAATAAACACACCCACTATACATCACCGCATATGTTTCATCTGAAAATTGAAAAATATTCATGGCAGTAAGATTAAAACTGATCCTTATGTAAATATCAGGTTTTTTTGTTCCTCTTCTATTTATAAATTTTTGAAGCATCCGCTGTCCGATCCGTTGATATGTGATAGGGTCCGACTTTAATCCGGCCAAAATCGTAGTTGACATCGAGATATAAGCTAATTTTGTACAAACTAAACTACTACCGTAGTATTTTAACCTTTCTAAGTTACAGCTCAAGTCATTTTCTAAAGGCATGGTGCGATTTGAAGCGTAACAAAAAAATGCTGAGATAAGAACCAAACCTGGAGTTTGCATGTGATGGACTCGAACCGCCACTACCCTCAGGGAGAACGTCTGCTCGAAATTATTAAGACTCTTGCACTGTCTTCCTTTCAGTTCGACCTTAACCTATCTGATGGCTCTCAGCAATCCCTTGCCAACGGATTGCATCCACAAAGCTCAAATCATCGAAAGCTCGAGTTAAGCTGAAGTCGTTGTTGTAACCGCAAGCCCGGAGAGAGACGCAGAACGACAGCCTTGATAGTGTGGTACAAGCGCGCTGCCTTGGAGGGTAGTGGTTCGAGTTTGAGGCACAAAAAGAAGAGGCCCAAGTTTGTTTATATCTCGAAATTATTGTGGCTATTACCGTAGTCTTTGATTAGATTCACTGTGAATTACTTGGAACTGAAATTGGTCAAGTAAGTACTTTCTTACTACTTTAGGTCATTTCAATTCTTCCAGTTCCTTGTCAAATTTTCCTTCTCAACATTTCTTTCAGAAACAGAGAGGTGCACACACTGCAGTCCAAGTTTGTTTTACGAGCACTATGATTTGTGGTATATGGTGGATAGAGTACATGACGACTAGGATCGCTTTTCTGTGACATCCATCTTGAATCATCAGTAATAGGCTACAAATGGAAATAATTCACTCATCCCAGATGAAACTAAATTAACAAATATCCATAATATCAGCAAAATGCAAAACTCTTAGCTTCGAGCGGGAGCTCAACTCGCGTCCCACACTATTCAAAGGCGCGTGCTATCCATTACACTACTGTGCCTACTTTTCCGCTGTCACTCCTTCTGTTACACAAAGTATCGGGGCTAACAGCAATCAATCGTCAATGCCTTTGATTTGGTAAGCACATATAGGCAATAAACTAGCAGTTTTATGTTTTTTAACTATACATCCAAGAATGTTGGCTAATATCAGAGCCCTAAACTTCAGGTAGGAGGCAAACCCGCTTTGCATCCTCAACGTTGGGAGCGTACCTAAACCTCAGGCAAGATGTGAACCTGCATTTTACCCATAATGCAAGGTGCGTGCTATCATTACACTAAGTAGGTCATTGTTTTCGCATTACTCTTTCTGCGACAGGTTAACAAATTTAAAGTAGGGGATATGATAGATTACATACGACATGTCGTGTCACGTCTCTTCGAGTGAGCCTATTTATCATCCTTATCGCTTGCCATCGTCATAAGTGGTCGAATGTTGTCGAATTGGTAGCCTCAAGAAGAGTGAAAGCGCTGGTTTTCAGAGACACAGGGATGGAACCAACGACCGACTATTCATGAAATTGATGGAAAGTCGTTGACAGCAGCATTCCACTGTGTAATATTAGATTGACTTCGAATAACTAAATAAAACAGCAAGGACCATCGAAGGATTTCGTTTTTTTGGATGCTTTTACTTGTTTTTTTCTACGATTACGTTCAACTCATAAATTATAGAAACCGATGTACAGTATATGGAACTTCCGTATTTCAGATTGCCGATTTTTGGCGAAAAAAGCCTGAAACTAACTGCAAAAGACTTGAAGAGTCAATTATGGCATGATGTTCATATACTCAAGTAGGCCATCATTGATTATGGTGCAAGCCCTAGCACTTCATTCATTCGATTATGATGTAAGTGCCATCCGAAAAGAAGGTGGGTAGGTTCGCGCAAGGGTACGACTGCACTATGAGAATCTCGAGGTTGGTTATATGTAAATTTAGTCGAGAAGTACCACGCATCTCAAAGTTGGGCAGCCTTTGGAAATTTAAACTACGAACAGGAGCTGGATGTAGTGTTGTCGTTCATCGTCAGAAAATTTGTTTACTAGAGATAGATACCACCAGACTTCTCTCCTCATTGACAACAGAATGTTAGTTGAAAGTCGTTTTTCCTGGATCAGTCGGGGTAGTTGCTCTGCCTTGGTGCTGTCAGGCTTCAAGAGGAGCGGTTCTCAACATATATGAGCACGAGAGAAGTTTGATACTTAATGACCTGCATTTCTCTGTGGAGAATAGCAAAGCCCGTGACAGTAGCGATCTTTTCAATTAAATGATCGGCCCAAGCTCCGAGGCCAAAAAGAAAACGAAATTCCGAATCTATAACTGCCATATGAATAAATTATAAGTAAATAGTGCCTAAATCATGGAAAGAAATAAGATTAAATGTCACAACAGTGTTCTTTTGACTCCTGCTAAGCGAAGTAACCTCCGCAAGAGTCACACGACACGAAAACAAAGGTCACTTTCAACTTTGAATCAGGATATCAGCTTATTACGGTCTTTGATTAATATAAACTGTACGTTTTTACATGTGTTTTTGCATAAATGTTATTCTAACAAGGAAAAATTCTGTACAATATTATCATATCGATTCAATTTTCAAACGTGTGATAAGAAGAACTTTTTCTCCTTTTTCTCAAATTTCTGATAGTCACTCGATATCCTGAATGTCGTCGATTTCATACTGTAATTCTGAAACGATCTATGTAGCGTGTATAAGCAGCGAAAAAAAAATTAAGTTTCGCACTCGGTGTGCATGAGCAGTGCTCTCAAACCCGCTTCGACAAAGCGCATTTTCGTCACTGATCCAAAAATTTCTCGCCGTATCATAGAAATTTCCAGAATTTTGATATGAATTTCTAGAAGGAACTCTGTTCTAAAGTTTCATGAGCTTAAGTTTTCATTTTCTGTGTATAATCCCAGATAAACTTCGAATGAATTCTAAGCCTAAGCATGAGCTTAAGAGTGCGAAACGTAATCTTCTTTTCGCTCTTTCAACGCCCTTTAGACATCTCTCCAGATACCAAACATAGCTTCAATTCATCAAAATTTGTGCTAACAAGAACTATCACTAGCCTTTTCTATAAGTTTATGGAAGAATGGTTGCAAAGAAGTGGCTTTCTGGTCTAATGGTAACACGCGCCCTCGGTAAGAGTGAAATGCGAATACATCTCTCGCTTAGAGTCGGTTTTATCTGTAACACACAATTTTCTTGGATAAATATTTTAACACCATACCACTGCTGGAAATCACTAAACTCAAAGAATCGTAGGTTATACATACTGAGTTTGATGCCCGTATATACTTACCAGACCAAACCCACCGGAAGTTGGTTGCCGACGCCTGCGATAGTCCATGCAAAGAAAGAATGAGTGCAAAGATGGCTTTGATGGTGCAGTTGTAGCACGTGCTTCCGGTAAAGTTGAAACGCTGGTTCAATTCCCAGCTGAGGTTGGTTTTTTGTATACTATTCAATCTTCTAAATATGAGTCTGAACTCTTTCAAATGATTACAAGCCAAAATATATTCTCAGGCTGTGAGACAACTAGCCTCGTCGCGAACCGGTTAGAAATACAACAAATAATAAATTCATATTATATTTAAACGCTGCCGAGGAACGTTCTAAGCATGACGAAACGCTCTCCTCGCAGATTGTGCAAAGGAAGAAATTTAGGGCCATTAGTCATCACAATAATCTTTTCCCAACCGTTTCTTTTGACGTTTTCAGTTTTCTGGTCGTTTTCCCATTTCGTCATTCTCGAAATCGAAGAAAGTTCCAATTTCTTAGCAACACCCAACTCGCCAACATTACGTGTCCCTATTCACATTTTCGTACTATTCTGATGCCTGCGCTGAGGAAAAAAGCAAACACCGCTTGATCCGCCCTATTCTGTCGACCACCCTCACCATGCCTGACCGTAATATACAAAGGACTACCACTGTCCTATTCTATCTTCATTGAGATTTTCGCCGATTTGATTTCAGCTATTCACGTTCCTTAACATTCTTATTTGACTTCACAGGTTTCAATATATTGCTTAACAAATCACTTTAGTCGATTATAATGCCTATTTTTCAATTTTTTTTTCAAAGAACATTTCTAAGACATTAGAAATATCAAAGAAAATCTATGAACTGAGAGTAAAGAATTGAATTTAGCTTGGAGAAAATATACGCTAGGGAAGAAGTTCCTTACCATTCCGCCGAAAATTCTAAGTTTGTACACAAATTCAATTAGAAAAAACAATCATTTTTCAAAATAAAGACCTCACCCACGATCTTCTGCCAGCAATCTTCAATCCGGATCTGCGAAACGCGCATACTCCTTGAGCTTTGAGCCAAAAAACTCCTAACATGCCTCTTCAACTTGATCAAATGTCTCTGAGTCGGCGTCCACGCTGCATATGTTCCGTTGAGCGAAAATTGGATCATAATCGGGCGGCGCAGCATCTAGACTGTAGGCTGGGTGCGGTATGACCTACACACCCTCCAGCTCATCAAACTCTTCCTTAGTGCTCTTTGCGGTGTGAGATTTGGTCATTGTCTTGTTAAACAGCGCGCTTTTCGACGTTTCCATGTCGAATAATTTCCTTCAACGCATTGTAGACCCTTGACCGTATAACTAGTGTTGCCGTGGGAATTCTGTACAAAAATATTCCTGAGATATTCCCACGAATTTACAATAACGTCACTGTGCAAAACGAACAGAAGATTCGCATTTTTCGCGAGTGTCAAAGAATTTTTTCCTCCAACAAAGTGATATCAATTAGTGTATTTGATCTTCAAGAACGGTCACTGTCATTATTTCCTTCCCTTTTTTCTCCTGAAAAATCTATGAATACTTGTTGAGGAGAAAAGGGGATACGACCTTCTGTAGCTCACCCTGAAACTCCATTCTTTTCTATACTTGGAGTGCGGAGAACGCAGTGGTCAGATGCTATCTAGGGATACATAGGACATTAGTTCGAGCCAACAGAGGACCAACCAAGCCTCCCTCTTTTTCTTCTAAATTCAACAAAACGTTCAACACTTGTTTAGAAAGATAAAAGTTCTGGTTTTGTTTTTGATCAAACTCCATTACTGACTAGATACATCCGTATGCCACCGTTCATCATATGGGCCTGATATGCATTCGAATCACATATAACGATGCATGGTAAAATCGACTCACAAAGCAGTTCTCGGATACAGATCAACGCAAACACTTGATCCTTCATTCTATATCTTTTAGGGTACTAAGTGGTCTACAGCTTACTGTTTGCTCTAAGTGTTCCTTGTGTATAATTATTATGGTAAGGTTTCGGAGCCTAGTATATATTAAGAAATATCAATTGTTTGATTGAAAAGCTACGTTGTTCGCTATAACTTTTGGAGCGAAAGTGAATTTATGGCAGCAGAGATATATTTCGTCGACGTAATCGTAGTGAATCAAAAATTGGCCAAAAAACTACTGTTGTTAGCCAAACTGGATTCCGCTTGCTACATTATCCACGATTGGTTCAATTGAATAATCTCAACAAAAACTGTGGTGTTCAACAGAGTTCTAGTCAGAGCAGCAAATCCCATTCCAATACAAAACAGCCAGTGTCTGTTCGTGGTGGAGAACTAGACGTGGGAATACATTAGTACGACAGCACGGATATCGTGGGATTTCAAAGAGTCATGCTCATGCATCATTCATTCGCATTTCAGAACGTATCCAACCGTTAAAAATGGACTAAGTAGTAGGTAGAAGCTAATAGAAAGATCTCTTCGATGAACTGCAAAGTTCTTTACTCTTGAAGCATTTACAAATCAAAAAGGATTGCTAGCTGTTGAAATTTCAGTTTCGTAACGATGAGAAGATTTTAGAGAGTAGATTGATATGGGAAACAATAAATATCGGATAAAAATACGACTACATCAAAATTTTATCCGTGGCAATAACTTCATCAGTGCGATAGAGCTTAATTCCACGTATCTGACTATGTTAAGTATGCTCACCTTTGGTATCAAAGGAATATTTTAGATAACACTAAAAAAATTATGACAGTGCTACGACTTCCGATCCATATTTTAACGTTACTTCAAACAATCCGTTACGGGAGCACTTGCCCACCGCAACCGGGATATTGTTATGCAGGTAAATGCATTGTTTCTTGTAACTCATGTAAGTTATTCGGTGATTTCGCTGAGTATACGGTAAAAGAACTTACTCCAGTAACTTGTTTCCCTTCGCATCAGTTGCTATGAGGATTACACCAGTAAATCTAATCTACTAAACATCATCGATACGCGGTAGTTGTCTTTCGACTAAATAAAATCTCCCACCCATTTTGGCTTTCGCTAAGATCGATCACAAGAAGAGACTTAATTTTATGGATTCGCATGATAAAGGCCGTCATCCGTTACATTCTTGAAACAATCATAGTGTCGCTTTAAGGCTCAGGGTGATAGGGGCTTTACTTCCATCTCCAATGTGCATTTGCACATTTAGTGACAACTGTGAGAATATGAGAGGGATGAGGATCCTAGTATTCTTTAAGTTATTCTCAATCATTGTACAATATCGCCTTATTCGGCACCTTGCACAAGTCTCTCTCACCGTACGAATACTATGTAACCCATTCGCTCCTGTTTGCCTCTAATAACCTCATATCCAGACTGTACTACAATTGAGCCCAGTAATACATTGAGCATCAAAACGTGAAAGATATTTTGGAGTGTCGGACTGCGATATGCAATGGAGGTCTTCCACAGAGTCTCCCTAGCTGAAAGGACAAACTCTTGACAGAGGAGGCCGGTGGCAGGCCAGCGCTATTCCGCCAAAGGACTGTTTAACCGTACGCTAGACTACCCAAGCTTCGCACCACCCGCAAAATCACGAAAGTGGTACAAGAGATGCCTAAGATAAGCTCTTTTTCTCATATCCAAGGGGTACGGCCTCAGTGCGGCTACTTCAATGCCCAAAAAAAAATTGGCCTCCATCAGCACTTAGTAGCGTTCATAAGAAAGACGAAAATTTTTAAAGAGAACCAGTCCCACAAAGAGATGTTCGAAGCTACTGAGGATACATCCAAGGGAACAAATCAAAGGAAAGAAGTGCTGAGGTCGACGTAGTATGTCATGCTGGATCATGTGGAAAAATGCTAAGGTACTAAATGCGAAACTCAATGGATCAAAGCAATAGTGCTGGGGCAACACAAGTCCCCACAAAACCTACTGTATAAGCAATGAAGTAACTTTTGCGAAGGAGCAACGAGTTTCACTGACCTATCTTCAGAAGTCAAGCGTCAAATCGCATGCTCACGCAAATATTTCGACGACCCGTCTTCACTGCAAGTGCAAGCCCAGCATAGTTTCATTTGTTTCTCCCTTGCGCCATTGTTGCTCATAGTGGTGGTCTGTTTTGAAAACAGCGATCTACGCGAGGCCCATTTCGTGAATCCAAACTCACAGTCACCTGCGAATGTAGATGGTTAAACTTAACCACAAAGGCGTCCAGATATCCTTTCACTTTCAAGAAGACGCTCGCAGTCTCTTGGAGTCCACTTCACTGTTGTTTCCATCCATCTGTTCTTCTAACTATATGACCGAGCTATCTGTGTTTTGCTATCGATGTGAATATTTCTAAATCGTGAAGATGGGAGTTTCGGAAATCTGGGTTGCGCCAGCGGACTAAATCCTGCGAGATTTCAAGAAACATCGTCATAGAGTTCTGTGAATTGTTCCCACTGATCTTGAAGTGAGTCGAAACTTTGTCGACGTCTCTGCTCCACAGCAGAGTGCTAGAAGGACTATTGAATCCAGAAGGTGAGCACGAAGATTGAAGCCCGCTGTTCGGTCGGTGACCCCTTTGAAGAGTCCAATTGTGGCCAATGCTGCTCCTTTTTTCTGTCAGAGTCCTTCTGTGTCAGATCAGAGAATCTATTAAATTGGTCTCTTTTCATGAAAGGCTACGGCTGTATGCTGTTTATTGATTATGTACACTAGAGCCAAGGGTTGATGGGGCTGGTCGGGATTTCTTTCGTTTAAAGGATTGTGAAGTCTTATCTTTTGTCAACTAGAAATCAACTCATATCCAGTAGATAATTTCTTATTTAGACGAAACTTAATCAAGTAATAGATATGTAAACTAAAATTCAAATGGTAGATGCCAAGACTTATTGAGCTTTTGACCATTAAAGTAAAGCAACAGAGCCCTGGATAAAATCAATATAAGAATCTACTACTACGATGATGAAAGCCTACCATCTTGCTGTCTACAAACTATGTTGAGCTTATTCCGATCCAATCTATATTAAGGAAGTGTAACGATATTGTCTCCTTACAGTGGAGGAATAGTTAGTCGTAGATGTGCAGAAACGATAAACAGGGATTGGTGTGCAGTGAGGTGAATATATTTCTTCTGATGATTTCACCGAAAAGCAAAATTTTTTAGCTTCTATACATTCGATAAGATAGCAAGTTTCGGCT